TCCGCGGGCGGCTGGGGCTGGGGGGTGGGGGGGCAGCGATGTGCTGCTGGAAATCCAAGGGCCGAGACCGGGAGAAGATCTTGGCGTCCCTCTCGTCAGCGGGTTCATCAGGGGGGACCCTGCCCACGCCGCAGAGGGGGTGGCCAGGCTCCCGACGGCTCTCCGGGGGCTCCACCTTCCTGGGGCTGTCAGCTGGTGGGCAATCCCACAGGAGCTGGGTCAGCTCAGCCTCCTCTGAGTCCTCCTTCAGGAAACGCTTTATCTGGGGACCAAGGGAGGAGGTGACACCAATGGTGGCAGTGCCAGCCTGAGGTGGCATTACCCAACTCGGCATCACGAGCCCCCACGCCACAGCAGCCAGACACATGCACCCCAAGGATGGCAGGGATGGGAGAAGAGGGGGGGTGCAGCCACCCCAGGGGACCGGCCACCACCCTGGGGACAGCCATGGGGATGGCAGCAGGGACAGCCATAGTCCCATGCACCCCGGGCTCTTACAGCTTGCGGCACGGGGACAGCAGTCAGCTCCTGGCACTCCGGGGGAGAGGGACGGGTCCCTTCCCCCTGGGCCCCCCGCCACTCCTCAGGGTCTTCTGGGGTACCCAGGACCCCCACGCACCCCATGGCCTGCCGGGAGGACAGGGAGGGGGCGCCGAGGGGGAGGGAGAGACACCAAGAAGAGATGAACAGCAGCGGCAGAGGAGCTGGCAGTGGGGCCGGACCCAGCGGGGAGGCAAATGGTGGGCAGGGGTCTGCCTGTGCCCCCTGCCTGCCCGCTCGCAGGGTCCCAGCGTGGGTGATGGCACAAGGGGTTCCCATCCCTGCAGTCCCAGGGGACAGCCAGGGCGGGAGACCTGACCCACAGCCATCACCAACCCCACGTGCAAAGGGCTCAGGGCAACACAACCTGTCGTGCAAAGGGGCTACGAACCCCATGGGCACGCTCAGGCCACGTCCTCGCACGCACCGGGACCCGGACACCCCCTGGCCCTGGCTCTGCCCCTCCTGGAGCTGGTGCAGGCAGCAGGCCCAGGCAGGGGCCGGGGGCACCGGGCACAGCGGCCCCTAAGCTGGTGGCCCCGTGGGGTGGCGGGGCTGGGATGAGGGACAGGGATGCCGGGACTGGGACGGCTCCACATCCTGTTTACAAGCGCTGGCGGGAGGAGACGCATTCCCAAGGGCATGTCCGGCAGCAGCTCCCGCGGGACCAAGCCCTCCTGCCAGCAGGCACCAGGGTCCCTGATGCCCTGCCATGGCAACTGCCAGGACAGCCCAGCCCCGTGGGCAGGGAGACCCCCAAATGGGGGGCACACAGGGTCTGGGGGAGCCCCCGACCCTGCAGGCTCACACCTGGGGGTCAGCGCCCCCCTTGATCGGGGCCTCGAGGCGAAAGCCCTCCATGGGGACATGTGTTCACCCCCATCCCGTGTCCCTGCTCCATCGGCAGGGAGGGCAGCTGTGCCGGCGGCAAGGCGAGATGCACTGAATTAGTGGGCTGGAAACAAGGTCACGGCGCTGCCGGGGCTGCACACTCACACTCCTGCCCCCCCCTCCCTGGTACCCCTGCGGCCACTGGCACGGGGGGGCCACGGTGCCAGGCTGGGGGGGGCAGTGGGTGCCCCCACAGTGGGGGCTGTGGGGTCCCTGCTCTCCCCTCTCCCCCAGCGGGTCAATAGTGCTCAGCAGGTCTGTGTGACCACAGCATCCTCTTCCTCACCGACCTTGACCTGGGGGGGCTCAGCACCAGCCCCCGCCACAGCACAGCCCAGCCAGGGGCCACACAGGGATGGGATAGGATGCTGCCACTGCCAAGTGCTCCCAGCCCCGCTGCCACTCCATCCCATGGGGCTCCAGCCCTTTAGGGCTCCCCCTTGTTCCCCCACCCCAGAGAAGCCAATGGCCTCGGTGATGCTGCGGCATAGGGGGGGGTTTGCACAGCATCATCGGGGGTTCTGCAGCAAGTGCATCCCCCAGCAAGGCTGTCTCCGGGACAGAGCATCGGCTGTGGCACCTCCCCGCAGCACCAGGGTGCTATGGGTCCCCCCATCCCTGTCTGCCCCCCTCTCTCGCCCCACCAGGGAGGGACGTGCCCCCGTACCTCTTGCCCAGGCTGCGGCTCGGGGCAGGTGGCCATGGCAGAGCCGGCATCGCCCGTGGCCGGGAGAGGATGCCGAGTGGCACTGGCTGCTGCGCTGAGGGATGGGGAGCAGCATTAGCATAACTCCACCCTGGGCAGGCACCATGGCCCAGGCACCCACGGCACCCAGCAGCCAGGCATGGCCCCTGTGAGTGCCGGGGGGGCAGGACCAGCCGGGGGGGAGAGGGAGCCCCAGGGCAGAGCCAAGCCCAGCTCTTGACCAGTCATTGAGATGTGAAGGACCAGCAAAGCATCGTTGGCCAAGGAGGTGGCAATGCAGGTCCTGGGGGGGCTGCACGGCCACCACCACCATCACCACCAGCAGCACCAGCACCGGCCCCCCTGGGCTGAACACACAGCTTGGCTACAGCCCAGGAGGACATTCAGCCCTGGCAAAGACCTCCATCCCAGGACAAAAAACTCCCCCAACCCGGTTGCACACTGGGTCCTCTCCCACTCCCAACCCCGGAGCACCCCACAGCTGCCCTGGCAGGGCCCCCCAGCCTCTTCAAGGGGAGAAACCTGATTTCCCATGAAAGCCTATTTGAAAACTCAACGTTTTTGCACCCGACCATTAAAGCTTCCCCACACGGTTCCAAGTCGCTGCTCTGGCTGGACCTGATGGGTCCGGCTGGGAAGGACCCAGCTGTGGGCTGCGAGAAGCAGGGATGATGCCCACTGCAGGGCTTCCTGGCAGGAGCTCCAGTGGTCCTGCCTCGGCTTCCCCAGCTCATCCTTGGGGAGGCAAAGGGTTAACGGTGCCTCAGGAGGAGCCATGGGTAGCATCGAGGGCACCCGAGCTGTCACTGCTGGGCGTCACCCGGGACAGTGATTCACCTTGATGCATGTCGAGATGCATCAGAGCAGCTCAGGCACGGAGCTGGGGTTGCTCAGCCGCGGAAGGGCTGCGTTTGCCAGGAAAGCACTAAAAAGCCCTGAAGCATCGGCTGGTGCCAGGACAGGTGCAATGAACCGCGAGCTTGCCGGATGCGGAGAGGGGCCTGGATGCTTCTGTGCCCATCCCCAGCATCCCTGGATCCCAGCCATGCTCCTAACCCCAGCACCAGGTCTCCCCCTACCCAGCTTCAAGGCCACGCAACGCCAGTGGCAGAGACCCCACCGTCCCCAGCCATCCATGCTCTGCCCAGTCCCAGGGGAGCAGTGCCACCATCCCTGGCTGACACTGCACCTCCCCGATGGCTTTGCAGCCCCTTTCCCCCCCCCATCACAGGCTGCAGCACCCCACCACCACCCCACCAGTCTGGCCAGGCTCTGCACCCTGTCAACGGTGCCCCTCACTCCCAAACCCCTCCCTGCCTGGTGTAGCACAGCTCTCCTACAACACCCACCGCTTTCATAGAATCATAGAATCACTGAGGTTGGAAAAGACCTCTAAGATCATCGAGTCCAACCGTCGACCCAACACCACCACCCACTAAACCATGTCCCTAAGTGCCTCATCTACTCGTCTTCTAAGTACCTCCAGGGATGGGGACTCCACCACTTC